CCCCTGGCACACATGCACCCAAGAGCATTTTCGGCACACATGCACCAAGAGCATTCTTCGGCACATCGTGTGACCTGGCACACGTGCACCCAAGAGCATTTCTGCACACATGCACCCAAGAGCACTGGCACACATGCACTCCAAGAGCACCCCCTGGCACATGCACCCAAGAGCACTGGCACACATGCACCCAAGAGCACTTCAGCACACATGCACCCAAGAGGCCCCTGGTAAACGTGCACCCAAGAGCACCCTGGCACACATGCACCTAAGAGCACCCCCCTGGTACACATGCACTCCAGCACTGCACATTATGCACCAAAAGAGCACTTCTGGCACATTATGCACCCAAGCGCACTCGGTACATTTTGCACCCAATGCACTCTGCACACATACACACCAAAGAGCACTTCTGCACACACATGTGCACTAAGAGCACTCTGCACACATGCACCCAAGAGCACTCCACATGCACCCAAGAGCGCTGCACACATGCACCCAAGAGCACCTGGTACACGTGCACCCACACCTCTCTGGCACACGTGCACCCAAGAGCATTTCGGCAATACGATGCACCTGAAGAGGACTTCTGGTACACGGCACTAAGAGGACTGGCACACGTGCACTCCAAGAGCATCTCGGCACACATGCACCCAAGAGCACTTCGGCACACATGCACCCAAGAGCACTGGTACACATGCACCCAAGAGCACTCGGTACACATGCACCAAGAGCACTCCAGCACACATGCACCCAAGAGCACTTTTTGCAACGTGCACCCAAGAGCACTTCTTGCACACATGCACCCACAGCACTTCTTGCACACATGCACCCAAGAGCACTCTGGTACACATGCACCAAAGAGCACTTCTTCTGGCACACGTGCACCCAAGAGCACTTCAGCACATGCACTAAGAGCACTGGGTACACATGCACCCAAGAGCATTCTGCACATGTGCACCCAAGAGCACTCCTGGCACACATGCACCAAGAGCGCTTCTGGCACACATGCACCCAAGAGCACTGCACACATGCACCCAAGAGCACTCTGCACACATGCTCAAAGAGCACTTCTGGCACACATACCCAAGAGCACCCCCTGGTACACATGCACCCAAGAGCACTTCTGGTACACATGCACCCAAGAGCACCCTGGCACACATGCACCAAAGAGCACCCCCTGGCACACATGCACCCAAGCGCACCTCGGCACACTTGCACCCAATGCATTCTGGTACACATACACCCTAGAGCACTTCGGCACATGCACCCAAGAGCACCTGGCCATTATGCACTAAGAGCACTGGCACACATGCACCCAAGAGTGCTTGGCACATGCACCTAAGAGGGACTGGCACACGTGCACCCAAGAGCACTTGGCACACATGCACCCAAGAGTGGCCTGGCACACATGCACCTTAAGAGCACTTGGCACACGTGCACCCAAGAGCACATTCTCACACGTGCACTAAGAGTATCTGCACACATGCACCCAAGAGCACTTTGGAACACAAGTGCACCTGCAGCACCCCTGCACATGCACTCCCAAGGAGCACCTGGCACACATGCACCAAGAGCACTGGCACACATGCACCCACACACCCTGGTACACATGCACTCAAGAGCGCTTCTGGCACACATGCAGCCAAGAGCACTTCTGCACACATGCACCCAATGAACTCTGGCACACATGCACCCACAGCACTTCTGCACACATGCACCCAAGAGCACCTGGCACACATGCACCCAAGAGCACTTTCTGGTACACATGCACCCAAGAGCGCCTCTGTTACACATGCACCCAAGAGCACTTCTGCACACGTGCACTAAGAGCACTTCTGGCACATGCACCAAGAGCATTTCTGGCACACATGCACCCAAGAGCACCCCGGCACACGTGCACCCAAGAGCACTTCTGGCACACGTGCACCCAAGAGCACTTGGCACACGTGCAATCTAAGAGCATTTCTATGCACACATGCACCCAAGAGCACTGGCACACATGCACCCAAGAGCACCCTGGCACACATGCACCCAAGAGTTTGGCACACATGCACCCAAGAGCACTTCAGCACACATGCACTCAAGAGCACTTTGCAACGCACTCCAAGAGCACTTCTGCACACATGCACCCAAGAGCACTGGCACACATGTACTAAGAGCACTTCTGGCACATGGTTCAAAGAGCACTTCTGGCACACATGCACCAAGCGATGCCTGGTACACATGCACCCAAGCGCACCCTGCTGGTACACTTGCACCAATGCACTCTGGTACACATACACCAAAGAGCACTTCGGTACATTATGCACCCAAGAGCACTTGCACACGTGTATCCAGCACTTTGGTACACATGCACCCAAGAGCACCCCACACACATGCACCAAAGAGCACCCCTGGCACACATGCACCCAAGAGCACCTGGCACACATGCACCCAAGAGCGCTTCTGGTACACATGCACCAAGAGAGCCTGGCACACGCACCCAAGAGCACTTCTGCACACGTGCACCTAAGAGCATGGTACACACACCCAAGAGCACTTCTGGCACACGCACCCAAGAGGACTTCACCACGTGCACCCAAGAGCATCCGGCACATGCACCCAAGAGCACTCTGCACACATGCACCCAGGAGCACTGGTACACATGCACTCCAAGAGCACTTGGTACACATGCACCCAAGAGTACCCCAGTACACATGCACCCAAGAGCACTTTGGTAAACGTGCACCCAAGAGCACTTCTGGCACACATGCACCCACAGCACTTCTGGCACATGCACCAAGAAAGCACCCTGGTACACATGCACCAAAGAGCACTTCGGCAATGTGCACCCAAGAGCACTTCACAGCACACATGCACCCAAGAGCACTGGTGCCACATGCACCCAAGAGCATTCTGTACATGTGCACCCAAGAGCACCCCTGGCACACATGCACCCAAGAGCACCCTGGCACACATGCACCCAAGAGCACTTTCTGGTACACATGCACCAAAGAGCACCCTGGCACACATGCACCCAAGAGCACTGGCACACATGCACCCAAGAGCACTTCTGGCACACATGCACCCAAGAGCACCCTCGGCACACATGCACCCAAGAGCACTTTCTGGCACACACACACCAAAGAGCACTTAGGTACACATTCACCCAAGCGCACCCTGCACACTTGCACTAATGCATTCTGGCACACACACACCCTAGAGCACTTCTGGCACACATGCACCCAAGAGCACCTGGCACACATGCACCCAAGAGCACTCTGGCACACATGCACCCAAGAGCGCTCTGGTACACATGCACCCAAGAGCACTGGCACACGCACCCAAGAGGCCTGCATGTATGCACCCAAGAGCATTTCGGCACACATGCACCCAAGAGCATTCTGGTACACGCACCCAAGAGCATCTCGGTACACGTGTACCCAAGACATCTGGTACACATGCACCCAAGAGCACTTTGGTACACATGCACCCAAGAGCACTTCGGTACACATGCATCCAAGAGCACCTGGCACACATGCACCTGAAGAGCACCCTGGCACACATGCACCCACGAACTTGCACACATGCACCCACAGCACTTCTGGCACACATGCACCCAAGAGCACCTGGCACATGCACCCAAGAGCACTGGCACACATGCACCAAGAGCTTTCTGGCACATGTGCACTCAAGAGCACTTTCGGTACACGTGCACCAAGAGCATCTTCTGCACACATGCACCCAAGAGCATTTCTGGCACACATGCACCCAAGAGCACTTCGGTACACGTGCACCTGAGCACTCCCTGGCACACGTGCACCCAAGAGCATTTCTTGCACACATGCACTCCAAGGAGCACTGGCACACATGCACTCCAAGAGCACTTCGGCACATGCACCCAAGAGACCCCTGGTACACATGCACCCAAGAGCACCCCCACACATGCACCCAAGAGCACTCGGTAAACGTGCACCCAAGAGCACTTGCACACATGCACCCAAGAGCATCTCACACACATGCACCCCAAGAGCACCCTGGCACACATGCACCCAAGAGCACTCTGCACACATGCACCCAAGAGCACCCAGTACACATGCACCCAAGAGCATCTCTTGCAAACGTGCACTCAAGAGCACCCCTGGCACACATGCACCTTATTACAGCACTTCTGGTACACATGCACCCAAGAGCATCTCTGCACACATGCACCAAAAGAGAAAGCACTTTCACAATGTGCACCCAAGAGCACTCTGCTAGTACATTATGCACCCAAGAGCATCTCTGGCACACATGCACCCAAGAGCACTTCTGGTACATGTGCACCCAAGAGCACCCCTGGCACACATGCACCCAAGAGCACCCTGGCACACATGCACCCAAGAGCACTGGTGCACATGCACCTGCTGAGCACTCCCCGGCACACATGCACCAAAGAGCACCCCCTGCACACATGCACCCAAGAGCACTCCCTGGTACACACACCCAAGAGCACCCTGGCACACATGCACTAAGAGCACCCCTGGCACACATGCACCAAAGAGCACCCCCTGGCACACATGCACCCGCGCACCCTCGGCACACTTGCACCCAATGCATTCTGGCACACACACACCCCTAGAGCATCTCTGGCACACATGCACCCAAGAGCACCTGGCACACATGCACCCAAGAGCACTTTCTGGTGCCACATGCACCCAAGAGCATTTCTGGCACACATGCACCCAAGAGCACTTCGAGTAACACGTGCACCAAGAGCATTCCTCGGTACAATGTGCACCCACATATCTGGTACACATGCACCCAAGAGCACTTTTGGCACACATGCACCCAAGAGCACCCCCCGGTACACATGCACTCCAAGAGCACCTGGTACACATGCACCCAAGAGCACTTCTGGTACACATGCACCCAAGAGCATCTCTGGTACACATGCACTCAAGAGCGCTTGCACACATGCAGCCAAGAGCACTTCTGGTACACATGCACCAAATGAACTTTGGCACACATGACCACAGCACTTGGGTACACATGCACCCAAGAGCAACCTGGCACACATGCACCTGCTAAGAGCACTGGCACATGCACCCAAGAGCGCCTGGCACACATGCACTCCAAGAGCACTTCTTCTGCACATCGCACTCCAAGAGCACTTTCGGGTACACATGCACCCAAGAGCATTTCTGGTACATGATGTGACCTGAAGAGCACCCTGGCACACGTGCACCCAAGAGCACTTCTGGCACACGTGCACCCAAGAGCATTTTGCACACATGCACCCAAGAGCACTCTGGCACACATGCACCCAAGAGCACTTCTGGTACATTTATGCATTCCAAGAGCACTTCTGGCACACATGCACCCAAGAGCACTTCAGCACACATGCAACTGAGCACTGGTAAACGTGCACCCAAGAGCTGGCACACATGCACCCAAGAGCACTGGCACACATGCACCTAAGAGCACCCTGGTACACATGCACCAAAGAGCACTTCGGCACACATGCACCCAAGCGCACCTCTCGGCACACTGCACCAATGCACCTGGTACACATACACCAAAGAGCAATTTCTGGCACACATGCACCCAAGAGCATTCTTGGGTACACGTGCACTCCAGGAACACTCTGGCACACATGCACCCAAGAGCACCCCTGGCACACATGCACCCAAGAGCACCCTGCACAGGCGCACCAAGAGCACCTGGCACACATGCACCTGCCAGCTGCTTCGGGCACACATGCACCCAAGAGCACCTGGCACATCGTGCACCCAAGAGCACTCCCCGGTACACGTGCACCCAAGAGCATTTTCGGCACACATGCACTCCAAGAGCACTCCCTGGCACACGTGCACCAAGAGGTGACTCTGCACATGCACCCAAGACTCACGGGCATATGCACCCATGAGCACCCACACATGCACCCAAGAGCACTTTGGTAAACGGGAGACTCAAGAGCACTCCCTGGCACACATGCACTCCACAGCACTTCTGGCACACATGCACCCAGAGCACTGGCACACCAAAGAACACACACACACACGTGCACCCAAGAGCACTTGTACACATGCACCCAAGAGCACTTCTGGTACACATGCACCTAAGACTTGGCACATGTGCACCCAAGAGCACTTCGGCACATGCACCTTAAGAGCACCCCTGGTACACATGCACCCAAGAGCACCCTGGCACACATGCACCCAAGAGCACCCCTGGCACACATGCACCAAAGAGCACCCCCCTGGCACACATGCACCAAGAGCATTTCGGCACACATGCACCCAAGAGCACTTCTCTGGCACACATGCACCCAAGAGCACTTCTGCACACATGCACCAAAGAGCACTTCTGGCACACATGCACCCAAGCGCACCTCGGCACACTTGCACCCAATGCATTCTGGCACACACACCCCAGAGCACTCCCTGGTACACATGCACCCAAGAGCACCTGGTACATGCACTAAGAGCACCCCTGGCACACATGCACCAAGAGCGCTTGGCACACATGCACCCAAGAGCACCGGTACACGTGCACCCAAGAGCATCCCTTGCACACATGCACTAAGAGCACTTTTGGCACACATGCACCCAAGAGCACTCTGGCACACATGCACCCAAGAGCACTGGCACACATGCACCCAAGAGCACTCCAGCACACATGCACCCAAGAGCATCTCTTGGTAAACGTGCACCCAAGAGCACTTCTGCACACATGCACCCACAGCACTTCCTCACACATGCACCCAAGAGCACTGGTACACATGCACCAAAGAGCACTTCTGGCACACGTGCACCCAAGAGCACTCCCCAGCACACATGCACCCAAGAGCATCTTCTGGCACACATGCACCCAAGACACTCTGGGTACATGTGCACTCCAAGAGCACTTCTGCACACATGCACCCAAGAGCAACTCGCACACATGCACCCAAGAGCACCCCTGGCACACATGCACCCAAGAGCACTTCTGCACACACATGCACCAACGAGCACCCTGGCACACATGCACCCAAGAGCACTTCCACACTTGCACCCACGAACTCTGGTACACATGTGCACCCACAGCACTTCGGCACACATGCACCACACATTTCGGCACACATGCACCCAAGAGCACCCCTGCACAGGTGCACCCAGAGCACCCCTGCACACGTGTGCACCCAAGAGCATTTCGGCACACATGCACCCAAGAGCACTGTACACATGCACCCAAGAGCACTCCAGCACACATGCACCCAAGAGCACTCCCTGGTACACATGCACCCAAGAGCACTTTGGCACATGCACCAAAGAGCACTTCTGGCACACATGCAGCCAAGAGCACTTCTGGCACACACATGCACCCACGAAGTCTGCACACATGCACTCCAATAGCAGCACCCCGGTGCCATGCACCCAAGAGCACTGCTGCACACATGCACCCAAGAGCACCCTGGCACACATGCACCCAAGAGCGCTTGTACACATGCACCCAAGAGCATCTTCTGGTACACATGCACCAAAGAGCACCCCCGGCACACATGCACCCAAGAGCACCTGCACACATGCACCAAAGAGCACTCTGCACACATGCACCCAAGAGC